TTGAGTTTTTCTCAACAGATGATAGTTAATACTTTAGCTATGAAATCATTCAGATTATTCTGTACTACAAGTCTTGTTTTATCAAATGATGGACTCGCATTAGATATTAAAAAGAATACCGTGTTCATTTATTAATATATTTTAGTGCTTAGCAACAGGTGTACAAAAATTAATAAATTTAATTAACTACAGATAAATCTAAATCAGTCATAATCTAGCTCATTACAATGCGATCGAGATTAGATCATAGACATCTCTTACTTCATAAAATATAGTAAAATTTTTTAGAGAACAGTTACATGATGATGGATTGAAAATAATACCATACAAAAATCAATGCCTACCCTTTCTTTCGAATAGGTAGCTGTTACTTCTCAGTCCAACACTACGAAGATAAATATTATTAAAGGGATGTTATTAAGATTCATAAGCGTTCCTAGATACCCCAGAAAATGAGTACGAATATATCGTATTTCGCTGTTGACTTCTCTATATGAAACAGAAATCGAACTCCGAAAAACGATAGATCGCAAAGATGACCGAATGTCACATCTTGTTAATAAGAGGTAGCTCAGTTTACTTATAATACTATTTACGCTACTTGCGTAGTAATCATATTATTCATATCCATGATAGAAAAGGATGATTACAAAATAACTGAAAATTTTTTTATTTCCAGTAATTTTTCGTTGTTAAAAAAGTACATTACATGTTAACGGTATTGTGATACATAATAAATTACATTTCACTAAATGTTACAATTCTTCTTAAATAAATAAGAAATAGCATTTAATTGTATCTATTGCTCCTTTAAATTTTAGATGTTGTAAGCGCCTAAATATTTAGCAGGTATGAAAAGTGATGATTATATGAGTAATCACACTCTTCGTACGACTTTTAATATTACTGGATTTTCTGGTATAGCTGTAAAAATGACAATTGTCGGTAAAGGATTTTCAGTTTGATTAGCTACTTCGAACTTGACTTGTTGTAGTAATCGTACTAAAATTAGTTTTAAATTCATCATTCCAAGTCTATTGCCTATGCATTTACGAGGGCCATCACTAAATGGTAAAAAGTGACATGGATGACGTTTAGATTTCTGATCGGCTGAAAATCGCTGAGGATCGAATTTATCAGGATTTTCCCATATATCAGGATCTTCATGGATAGCTTTTACTGCAATTGCAATACCGACACCTTTTGGAAATTGTACGCCGTTAATAACACAATCGCTTTTAGCTTCACGTAAGTTAATGTATCCAGCTGAGAAGTAACGAAATGCTTCGTTAATCGTCATTTCTAAGTAGTCTAACTTTTGAATATCGTTATAGTTTAAATTATCTTCATCAGGACAATATTGATCAATCTCTTCAATGACTTTATCTTGTACATCAGGATTAGTAGCTAAAGCAAATGCTATGAAGGTTAAGCTAGAAGCTGTAGTATCATATCCTCCGATTAAAAAAGTAAGACAATGTTGTACAATATCGAAATCGCTTATTTTCTCTTTATGTTCTGCTTCGATTACTAACTTTAGCATATCAGTTCTAGTAGATAAACCTTGATCTAATTCTCTACGACGAGTTGTGACAATTTTCCTTAACATAGTGGCTAATTTTACGATGGCTTTGACCTGTTTATAGTTAAAAAGAACGCGAAGTGGTCTGGAAGCCTTTGGTAATGCAATAAATAACGCTGCAATTGGCTTTTTAAGCCCACCCATGAAGTTATTGATGTGAGTTTGTAATTCGATTTTCTTTTCTTCGTTAGGTTTAACACCAAATAGCGATGATAATGACATATCCATGGCGGTACTATAAAATAGTTCCCTCACGTTTACAGTATCATCGTCGTTATCGATTTTGTGTAAAACTTTCTCTAACAAATTGTTACTAGCTTCATTAGCGAAGTGAGACATGGCTTTTAACTTATTCGGAGAGAAAAGCGGAGTTAGACTTTCACGAGCATGCTTCCAAGTCACGTCGCGAGCATCAATTAAGCCTACGGGCCTATTCGAAGTTGGTACTAAATCGATTCTGTTAATAAAATTTTCGGATTGTTTAACTAGAATTTCATAAGCAATATCAGGATCGGCTACGTGGATTATCGGTTTTCGACCGTAGTATAATCCAAAAATCTTTCCATACTTTTTAACATGGTCAGTTAAACATAGATGCCTGCGAACATAAACGGTATCCCA